ATGTTCCTGGAATGGATTATGCATGAATTGACTAACCATACTGACTGCAAAGGCAATATCTGGCCTTGTATGTGCCAGATAAATCAACCTTCCCACCAATCTTTGATATTGGTGAATATTAACTGGTACTCCTTCCTTGACATTTCCTAACTTTTGATTAGGGTCAATTGGAGTATCTATTGGTCTGCAGGCACTCATAACTGTTTCATGGAGTAGGTCTAGTACATACTTCCTCTGAGATACCACAATTCCCTTCTTTGATCTGGCTATCTCCATGCCAAGAAAGTACTTCAATTCTCCCAGGTCTTTGATCTCAAATTCCTGAGAAAGCTTCTTCTTCAGGTCTTCAATCTCTTTACAATAGTTTCCTGTAAGAATGATATCATCCACATAAACAATTAGTACTGCAATCTCTCCCTTAATGGAGAATTTCATGAATAGTGTATGGTCTGCTTGGGCTTGCTTGAATCCCTGCTTCTTTATGAATTGAGTAAACCTTTCAAACCAAGCCCTTGGGGACCGTTTAAGTCCATATAAGGCTTTCTCCAGCTTGCACACCTTTGAGCCATATTGTTCCTCAAACCCAGGAGGGGGGCTCATGTATACTTCCTCTTCAAGCTTCCCATTTAAGAAAGCATTCTTCACATCTAACTGTTGAAGAGGCCAGTCTAGGTTAGCAGCTAGAGATAGAAGGATTCTTATAGTATTTAATTTTGCAACTGGAGCAAAAGTTTCTGTATAATCTATGCCATAGGTTTGTGTGTATCCTTTGGCAACCAATCTGGCCTTATATCTTTCAAGTGTACCATCTGCTTTGAATTTAGGGGTAAATACCCATTTGCATCCCACTGTTGGTTTGTTTTTGGGTACTTCTACAGCCTGCCATGTCTGATTCTTTTCAAGAGCATTCATTTCTTCTAAAACAGCCTACTTCCGCTCAGGTATAGATAGAGCTTCCTGTATGGTTAAGGGAATAGAAACAGTGGAAAGACTAGAGGTAAAGGCTGCAAATAATGTAGATAACTGAGAATAGGACAGATAGTTTGAGATAGGGTATTTAACACATGATCTTTTTTCTTTTCTGAGAGCAATGGGTAGATTTAGATCACTGAAATGAAATTATTACCTTTGTCATTTTCTGACATTGAGTCAGATTCATGGGCAGTGGTAGGATAAGGGATGTCCTCTATTCTTTGATTTGGAACTCTCCTTTCATAAACCTTGCCAAAAAACTTACTTGTCTGCTGTTCATCATCTTTCCTTGTTTCAGAAAAATTTATTTCATTTTCTTTTGACTCTTGACTATCTTCTAGTGCATCTAACTGTCTATTATATTGTGCATCTAGACTAATGTCAAGAGATTCAAGTTTTTCATGGATATGTGACACATTATCACCATCTTCATTAGGAATCTCCCCCTGGAGACGAGTACAAAAAAAGGTTGATTTTCAACAAAAACAGTGTTCATTGTTACAAACATCTTTTTTGTTATAGGGTCAAAACATTTATAGCCTTTCTGTGTTGAAGATAGTCCTAAGAAAACACATTTTTTGCCTCTAGGATCAAATTTGCTTGCAGTTCTGTCAGGGTTGGTAATAAAAACTGTGCAGCCAAAAATTTTTATGGGAAGAGAATTAATAAGCCTAGTTTCAGGAAAACTAGCTTGAAGGGTATCAATAGGAGTTTTAAATCCTAGAGTTTTTGATGGCATCCTATTAATTAAATAGGTAGCATGTAAAACAGCTTCTCCCCATAAATATTTTGGAATTTTAGCAGAAAACATAATTCACGAGTGACTTCAAGCAAATGTCTATTTTTCCTCTCAGCTATTCCATTCGGAGCAGGTGTATTTACACAGGAACTTTGATGAATAATTCCTTTTTCACCAAAAAAATTATTTAACTTCTTAGAAAAATACTCAAGACCATTATCACTTCTCACAATTTTGATATTAGTGTTGAATTGAGTCTGTATCATTGAGTAAAAATTTTTGAACACCTCTTCAACCTCAGATTTTTCTTTAAGTAAAAAAACCCATGTGACCCGTGTGTGATCATCTATGATAGTTACAAACCACCTTTTTCCTTTCAGAGTTGGAACTCTAGATGCACCCCAAATATCACTGTGTACAATAGTAAAAGGACTAGTTGGCTTGTAACTATGAGGGATATAAGAACTCCTATGATGTTTGGCAAGTGCACACATATCACAATGAAATGATGAAGGATTTTTATTATGAAATAACTTAGGAAACAACATTTTCAGATAAGAAAAACTTGGGTGACCTAATCTATAGTGCATTAAATACACTTCATTATTACAAGGAAAGAAAATAGTTTGCAGACAAGTTTTTTCTTGACCTTGTTTATTCAATTGTGTTCCTTCATCAAAAGTATAGAGGCCATCCTCCTCTCTAGCACTGCCAATCATCCTCCCTGATGCCAGATCCTGAAAAATGCAATAAGAGGGATAAAACTTTACACAACACTGAAGGTCTTTGGTTATTTTGCTAATAGAGATAAGATTGCAGGAAAGTTTTGGAACATGTAAGACTTTGGAAAGGTTAATGGATGAGGAAATTTTAATATTTCCCATCCCTGCTATGGCTGAAAAAGAGCCATCTGCAACTCTAACTTTCTTATCTCCTGCACAAGGTTGATATGAAGAAAAAAACTTTGGAATGTAGGTCATGTGGTCTGTTGCACCTGAGTCAATGACCCAGGTGTTTTTTGGTTTTTCAGAACAAAAAAATGATGTTATTTTACCATTTTGGGCAAAAGAACAGGTAGGGTTTTCTTGGTTGGAGATTTTCTGGGTGGGTATAAATTTGAGTAGGTACTCTATCTGTTCCTGAGTGAATGGTAGCTGTTTAGATTCAACTCCTGACTCTTGTTGAGTCTCAGTCACAGTAGTTTGTAGGGCCCTCTCTACTTTCTTCTTTCCAGTTCCTGGTGGTTTTCCATGAAGTTTCCAGCATGTTTCCCTTGTGTGCCACAATTTCTTGCAGTGATCACACCAAGGTTTTTTCTTGTTGTCATCACTTCTGGCCACCAAAGCTGAAGAGTCCCCAGGTTCCTCATTAGGTACTGGAGTGTTGTACATGACCCTCCTCCTGCTATCTTCCAACCTGATCTCAGAAAAGACCTCTGATTGAGGCCAAAGGTTTCTTCCCCAGTATTCTGCCTTTTACTTCATCTAGGTCTCTATTAATTCCTGCTAGGAACATATAGACCCTGTCATTTTCCTCTCTCTTCTTGTGTCTTGCCAGATCCTTGGCATTTTCCCAGTCTTCAGCATCATAGCATTGGTCCAACTCTTGCCATAGAGATACCATCTCATTATAGTATGAGATGACATCTCTACTTCCTTGTTTGGACTGCCACAACCTTGTTTTTAATTCATAGATCTGAATAGGTTTCTTTAATTGAATCCCATACCTCTTTTGCAGTTTTCATGAACATGTGAGGTTTGGCGATTGATGCATCCATTGAACTGAGAAGCCAGGCTGTTACCAAAGAGTTTTCTGACCTCCAGACATTGTAGCCATCTTCACCATTCTTCTTCTCCTCTACTTCACCCGTTATGTATCCCAACTTTCCTCTTCCATCTATTGCCAGTTTGACAGACTGTGACCACTCTAGGTAATTGGTTCCATTCAATCTATGCCCAGTAATGAGCATAGATGAATTAACCGAGGCCTGGTAATTTGTCATTTGGCTAATTTGGGAGTTAGGGTGATGGGTTTGTGAGTGGGTGGAGGAATCAGAGTGTTCGGTGTCCACCATTGTGGTGTTTTAAACAACAAGGCTCTGATACCATGTAAGTTTGAAGAATTAATCTTCCTTGTATATTATTGAGCCATCCGGCAATGATATATATACAAGTTACAGATAAAGTTAAGTTGTTACAGATCCTAAAAAGTAGGATCTATCTATTCTATCTGTTCTGCGAGCTAATCTAAGAATTAGAGAACTCTATCAACTCAAATTCTTATCTATACAGTCCCAGATGTACAAATAATAAAAATAACATGTATATGCTACATTTTTCTACATGTAATCACCAGGAGCGTAATGCTCTAATACCAATGATAGAACACTGATATTATTGATTCAGAACTCACACAAACAATCGAAGAACACAAAGATCACACTTTATTCAACCCAACGAAGATATACAAGCTGTAGACAATTCGAGATGCCCAATCTCCTAGCCCAGTTCTAGCCAAAATGACAGATACCTCTAGCTAGCTTATTCAACTTCTATTTATAGTAACAGTCACGCAGGGACCTTACTAACTAACTAACAGACTAGTCAGTTAATCTTTATTATTAACTGCCCTATTCTTCCTCCTTTTATATACTTTCTTGTAAAACTGGACCGCATGCTTTACTCCTTGTCTATCACTTTCCTCTGGGGCAGAGGAATTATTTACCATCCAATTAGTTAGAGTTAATTCCATTTTTGGTCCTATGAGTTTTATGTCAATTCCACATTTAATCCACATCTTTCACTTTGTCAAATTTTGATACTTGACTAATGTTTCTTGACTATTTGTGGTCCTTTTCCGGTGATTTTAACCACCGCAAACATTAACGGAAGGACAATATATGGGCGAAAACACAATAGTCATGTACCAAAAGTCAAAGACGTTGACCAATTGCAGAATTGATGCGATACTCATAGGACCAAAAGTGGAATTTATTCAATAAGTTATGTGTTTCCGTTGAATGGAACTATTTTTGGGCAATTCAAATGAAACCAAATGTTTAGTGGGAAGAGGGTCTTTTGTGTATTATGTATGAAGTCAAATCATGAACTCAAAAAGATTTGAACTTCCTTGATGACCTTCATACCAGAATACAACTCAGATTGAACATCTTCATATGAAACTATTAAAGTAACTAATTGGCCAGCTTCAACATTGCTTTATTCGTGAAGCATTGACATGAACGGTTTTGTGGCACAAAGTCTCAAGTTAGCTATTAATGCTTTTGTAGATCAAAGTGGTAGTATTCGATAAAACTGGAACATTGACAATTGGGAAACCTGCTGTGGTCAGCGCTGTGCTTTTCTCAGGATTTTCTCTGGAAGAGTTTTGCGATTTAACTATTGCGACAGAGGTAGGTCTTCCATCATCATCAAAATCTTCTATCCTAACTACTTTGTACCAGTGCTATGAAATTTGTAGTATCAATTAATTTTCTAAACTTAATAACACTATAAATGCATGCAAAGAAAAAAATGTCGTATAATATGTTTCACGATTTTTATTTTTTGAAAAAATAAAATAAAAGGCTGGGGTTTCTTGTCAAGATGTGTGTAAATTACAAATCATTTGGGGTTCACATCATTTGCCCAAGAATCCATAATTATTAGAAAAGGAAAACAACATCATCATTGTCACCTTAATGCCAATTAAGATGGGTTTGGTGACATAAATTTATTGTGCTAATATATTTTCTTGAATTTATACCATGTAAATTCGTGCAAAACAAAAAATTAATATAAGTGTGTGCATGTTTTTTATAATGATATGCACAGACCCTCGACTAGTGAGTGTTGACACCTTCCAGGTAGCCATGTAACTCTTGAGAGGTTTGGTCTTCAGGTGAACAGTGAACATCCAGTAGCAAAAGCTGTAGTGGAGCACGCCAAGAATCTGCGCCAGAAAAGTGGGACCCAAATTGGATATTTTCCCGATGTAGACAACTTTGAGGTCCACTTAGGAGCTGGAGTGAGTGGAGGAGTCGGAGGCAGAAGAGTTTTAGTTGGAAACAAGAAGCTAATGTGTGCTTTTGATGTTCCTGTTGGGAATGAGGTTGATAAGTACATTTCTGAGAATGAGAATCTTGTCCGTACATGTGTGTTGGTTGCCATTGATGAAAGAGTGGCTGGAGCCTTTGCCGTAACTGATCCGGTGAAGCCTGAGGCTGCCCGTGTCGTATCTTTTCTCCACTTGATGAATATCACAAGTGTCATTGTGACCGGTGATAACTGGGCAACTGCTAATGCTATAGCAAAGGAAGTTGGAATCCAGGATGTGTTTGCTGAGACTGATCCTATGGGAAAAGCAGATAAGATCAGAGAATTGCAGGTAAGCTCATTTTTAGAACACACTAATTGCAATGGAAAATAATAAGATGAATAACACTAAATTGCAGTAACAACATCCAAGCATTATTCCCAAGAGTATGAGGCGGCTAACATGAATCGATATATGATATCGGCATATCGCACTTTAGTCCATTGCTACATTTGTGTTTTCCAGCTCACTTTTTCATGTTATATTGGATAATTTTATCCAGAATAAGCGGCTCATTAAATAAATGATTTGTTTATGAACCCTAATAAAGAAAATGGAAAATGGAAGACTAAAAAATGAAAACAGAAAATTAGAGATAGAAAACCTGGAAAGTGAAAACAGAAAATTGGAGAACGGAAAACAGAAAAAGAAAACTGGAAAATATCTTTGTCAGTAAACAGGCCCTAAGCTTTTTCTTTCCTTTTCCCTACCATTTTCTGGATCCGAATATAGCATTGGGATTTGGGGGTGAAATTTACACGATTTTTCTTTTTCAGCATTGGTAAGCCAAGCATAAGATTAAACATAGACCAACCCGAGCTATAAGAATTATCCAGTTTATTAATTATTTGGTTGCAGTTGAGAGGTGCTGGAGTGGCAATGGTGGGGGATGGGATAAACGATTCACCGGCACTGGTTGCAGCAGACGTTGGGATGGCAATTGGTGCGGGCACCAATGTAGCCATTGAAGCTGCAGACATCGTCCTTATCAAGAGCAACCTGGAAGATGTGATCACTGCCATAGATCTCTCAAGAAAGACCATGTCTCGGATCAGGCTAAACTATGTATGGGCACTTGCATACAATGTTCTCGGCATGCCGGTTGCTGCTGGGGTATTGTACCCCTTCACTGGAATACGTATGCCACCTTGGCTTGCCGGTGCATGCATGGCTGCATCGTCTATCAGTGTCGTTTCTTCGTCCTTGCTTCTCCAGTCCTATAAGAGACCTCTTTCCATTCAAGGTTGATTCCAACCCCAGTTTCCACTTCTGCTATTATTAAATATAAATATGTGTGTGTATGGGTGATGGTATTACAAATTCTGTCGTCTGCTCATAAATGGATGTAGGCAAAACAAGAACCAAACGAATTCACTCTTGGGTATAATGCATTTTTGGTTACCTAACTATAGGAGCTGGCAAAACTTATCCCATTTTCTTTATTTATTTCCTCTTTCAGGCAATTTAAACCATTACTTGTGAACATATCTAGTATGAGGATGTTTTCTTTTGGATTGAAATTTGTTGGTCTGGTTTGGTCTGATCTAGTTCAGTCTGAAGTGGTCCGATCTGGCTTGGTAAAAGTTTGGTCTTGTTTGTTAAAGTTTGGTCTGATATGATTTGGTCTGTTTAAATCTAGTCTCGTCTGGATTGAAAACAGTCCAAAAGAAAATATCGGGAGTCTACGAAATCGGTACATCGAATGTGGCCTAAGCCATGCATGAGGGGGTGACTTGCCTTCTTTGAGGTCCTACCTCACAAGCACATGATTAGTTGACTGTAACAAGGAAAATGTGGCCTTGGTGGCTTGATTAATATTGTTTCTCTTGTTGTTGAATTATCATTTTGGCTTACACTCTTGTGCGGTGTGTTGTTGAAGTTGGCGAAACCTTTAAATTTTAAAAATATAAATAAATTCAAAAAAAAATCACCCATTTACTAAACAATCTAAACTCTAAACCTAATACTCTAATTGGCAACTTCTTTAAAAAATGTAAAGAGCAGAGTTAGTCTTCCAGAGGCGACTTCACCCACTATTAGGGTCTTAAGGTTTTTTATATTCCCAAAATATAAATGATTAAATCCTTACTATTTCCATATTTGATTTAACATTGGATGAATAATTGTTTAGTTATGTATATAGAAAGTCATGTATTTAATAGCATTGATGATGAATTAATTATTCAACACTAAGAAAATGCAAGTATTTTATGTCGTTCTTCTTTTACTATACATATGTTATACGAAGTATTTTATTCAGTTTTTATTGTTCTTATATGCTACATTTGTCTCTTAAAATTTGTCATATTTGACTTTTCAAATTAATGATAAAATGCAGTGGAGCACAAAATGCATTCTTATATCATTTTTTATATTGTAAATAACTTTCTTTAATAACATATTATTGATCAAAGTTTAATATGGTTGACCAAAATTCAAAAATGGCACAGGTTTGAAGTACACAGGGAGTACTATGCTAGTAGTATTATGTGTGTGCATAGCCAGTGTAATATAGCACCACTCTTTTGTTATTGCATTAATAAATTCTTGATCTTGTGGTCTAGCATTATTTTTATAGTTGGGAGGTGAGACGGCGAGTACCATGCCCGTGTAAAGTGATTTTGTGGCCGACAAAATAGGCTTAATCTGCATCGTGTGTTTTGGTCTGTTTTTGCTATTTCAAGTAGCTGCTACCCGTTGTACAAATTTTCGAAAGTTAAGTTTGCCATAAAAAATTACCTCCCCGGCATGGTCAACCACTTTACACAAGAATTTGTGATAATTCTTTTATTTTGCATGCTTATATGGTGGTTCTCCATGCAAATAGCATCTTGTCATTATTTTACTTAATTATATATCATTTCTCATTTATGTGACTATAAACACCGAAGCCTTCAAACGTTGGATTTTCTAGTAATGAAGAGGGGATAAGGTGCTTCAGAAAATACACTTTTTATGTTCTTCGATTAAAGGGATGGTAACTTTGTAAGGTCCTTGCAGGTGCTTTCACATCTTCCCTCACTTCATTATGTGAAATATGCTTTTTAGAAAGTGTAAGGAATAAATCGTATTTAGATTTTGATGATGCTAATCTAATTAGGATATTAGAGTACCCCCTTTAGTTAAATTGTATCAGAATTTTTTCTAAGTGTAAGTTATAGCATAGTCAACGGACCAGAGAACCTCAAGGGTTTCTGTCACGACTGGAGATGCACAAGAGAACTGAATATGTTGACTCCAACAAAGTTGCTACCCATAGTCACATGGATCGCGGTACGCTTGGGTACGCGGTACGAAAACGGGAATGCGGATCACCAAAATTAGAAATCCGATACGTAGGGGGGTAGGCTTCTTCGGTACGCGATTTTGGTACGCGGTACGCTGTACCCTATGTTTATGGTACGGTGAACCATAAACATATTGAAAACAATAAGTATAAATATAATTAATACAAGTATAATATTAAACAATTAACTTTTATAACTTCAATAACATTAAACAAACTTAACAATGTTTGCAACAACAATAAAAGATAACAAAACAGTAAACAAAGTTTCAAAATTCCAGCAACAAGCCAACAACTTCAACATAACAGGAAATAAAGTAATAAACATTAAACAAACTTCAACAAAACATTAAACATCAGCAGACTACTCAATCCTGACCTCTTTCCTTTATCATTTGGACCAACATCTTCTTCTAAATCTTCCTATTGTAGCTCATCGAGTCTTGCACTTGACCCTTCCACATACGCACTTTCAGGATTAATGACCCACTTCTTATTCGGGCCAACTTTGTAACTTTCGGAAAATCTTGATTGAAGACGAATGTTTGAATGAATGAACACCAACTTGTCAGCCCGTTTACAATTCAAACGGTTTCTCTTCACACTGTGAAGAGTAAGTGCTCCAATTCCTCTCAGCTGAGGAACTACTTATAGGCTGTGACAATAGTTTTTTTGCAACCTCCGCTAACTCAGGTGTCTCTGAACCGTATGTTGACCACCAATCGATGGCCTCCATAGTCACCGCATCCATCTGAGCTGCTGCCATAGAAAATAATCCCTTCTTCATGTGAAACTTTGCAAAGTGTTCTCTTAAGAGCCTTTGTTCTTCTTGGTTCTCACCAATTTTTTTAAAAGCCTCCATCACACCTAACACAACTTCTTTGTCCAAATTTGGAGCTTTTCTAGCAACTCCACCGGGTGCTAATTGCTCGAGATAACAAACATCATAAAATCGTGGTGATAAAGCAAAACCCAAACAATGCAAAGGAATAGTCATCTTCTCCCACCTAACTAACACAATAGCCTCTACTTTGGGAAAGTCCGAAGCGTATTGATTTGTAGCCATGATATCTTTTATTTCTCCCAACATGTTATCCATTTTTTCGTAGATTTCCCCCATTTTCGATCCTTCACCATCACAAAACTTGATTAACAAAAAAATTGGGTTTGTTATTGCAAGAATGTTATCCACATCATCCCAAAATTCCTCACTCCTAATAGTATCAGCGACTAACAATCCAGTCACTCTAGTGTTTTCATCCCCTTGTTTCACCCAATCTCTCCAAGAATTAAGAGCAATAGTTGTAGCAAGAGCCTCTCTACAATCCCTTAACCTTTTCAACAAAATATAATGTGACGCAAACCTAGTCTTGGCAACTTTCAACAACTTCAACTTTGAATTATCTCTAAAAATTGCCAAAGCTTGGGTGTGATAAAGAAAATATTTCACAACAACTTTTCCTCTCGTATACGTAGTCATCAACCAATCAAGTTTCTTGGCAAGATCTTTGAAAATCAAATTCAAGGTATGAACACAACAAGGAGACCAAAAGATGTGTTTATGTACCTTCTCAATTTCCCTACCCGCAGCTTTGCAATTTGATGCGTTGTCGGTCACAACTTGAAGGACATTGCTCGGTCCTACGGTTTCAATTGCTCCAAGCAAGAAATTCGCAAATGCCACACCGGTTTTTTCCAACCCAGAAAAGTCCTCCGCGAACATGAACATTGCACCGCGACTGTTGACGGCAATGACATTGATTAAGGGCTTATGCTTTATATTCGACAACCCATCAGATACGATGGAAACACCTTGTGAATACCAAGTATCTTTAATCGGTGTGAGGTCTTTTTCCACATCTCGAACGCATTCATCAAGCAAAACTGTCCTTGCTTTCTCACTAGATGGAGGTTTGTAACCCGCGGGTGCCTTGTTGATGGCACTTACTGATAGAGTATAAGTCTAGAGAGAAGTGAGAGCTAGAGAGAGAAGTGCTATAATTGCTCTGTATTAATGATTTTTGTGAACCCCTATAACCACTCCCAAGGGGAGTATTTATAAAGAAAATTAGGGCTGAGCTCCCAAGTCTTGGGCTTGGGAGGCCCATTTACAATAGGGCCACTAATGGGCCGGATACAAAGTTATAGAAATGGCTAAGTATAAAATCCTATTCTGGTGGCTATCTATGGCCGATGAGGGCATGGCCGACGAAGACCCGGCCGATGAGGTCACCCGGTTCTCCTGGCTTCTGGATCACATTCTGAGTAGACTTCTTTCTGGCCGATGGGGGTCATCTGGCCAACGAGGGTCCCACCAGGTGATCGTGGGTATGTGGGCCCTGGGGTCCAGGCCCATATACTCCATCAGGAGTCCCCCACTCTATGAGCTGAGATGTAGACGAAGTGAAGGAGAGTAGATTCCCTGACGTTGACGCTATGGAGTCTTGGCAGTTACAGGCACCCTTTGCTTTGGTCCTTGATTTTCGTTGTTACGGGTGTTCTGCGTTCTGGCCGTTGTGTGGTCCTCGCTGCGGACAGAGGGCTCTAGCCATGCGGGTGATGTTGTTTCCTGTTGGGGACGACGAGTGCCTTTGCATGGTGGAGACGATGAGCGTTTTCTTGCGTGGGTGGCCGGTGAAGACGGTGCTTCCCTACTCCTAACCGTTGATGGTTGAATTTCGTACTCATGGCCGAGGAGACCATGGTTGTAACACTTGAGATTTAATTTAAATGGATTAATAGTACTACTCATACCAACAAGAACTCCAAAGTTAAGCGTGCTTGCACGGGAGTAGTCTTGGGATGGGTGACCCCCTGAGAAGTTTCCCAGGGCGCGCACGAGTGAGGACAAAGTGCGTGGAAAAGGCTAGTGGTGGTTTGTGAGGACAGTACTAGAGGTCAAAAGTAACTCCTCGGGGCCTACGGGGCCGGGGTGTTACAAATGGTATCAGAGCAACCCTGTGACAGTGTGCTGATCCGTTGGATATCGGGCGGGCACTTAGCAGGGGAAAAGATTCTGGGATATGATTGAGATTGGTTTAGTTCCTAAGTGGGGGTGATTGTAACACTTGAGATTTAATTTAAATGGATTAATAGTACTACTCATACCAACAAGGTGCATCTCCTTTTAAGGGAGCTCATTAGCCAAGAACTCCAAAGTTAAGCGTGCTTGCACGGGAGTAGTCTTGGGATGGGTGACCCCCTAGGAAGTTTCCGAGGGCGCGCACGAGTGAGGACAAAGTGCGCGGAAAAGGCTAGTGGTGGTTTGTGAGGACAGTACTAGAGATCAAAAGTAACTACCTCGGGGCCTACGGGGCCGGGGTGTTACAATGGTGGTCATCTCCTGTTTGAGGACGATGAGTGCCCGTCTGACTCCGGGTAGCCGGTGAGGGTGCTATTTGCTTTTTCTGGCCGTTGTGGCTCTCATTCTATGCTTTTGGCCGAGGAGTGGTGGTACCCGTAGCTTGGTGCCCATGTTCTTGAGGATGATAGTGGCACTGATCCGGAAGGAGTGGTGCGTATCCTGGTCTCACAGACGATGATGATCTGAGGACGTTGAGTTCATGTTTTAATTCCTGGCCGAGAGTGGAGTATGCGGTCTCAAGGCCGTTGAGTGTCCTGTGATTTTAGGTGTTGCATCTTTGGAGGGAATTTTTCGTTTGCTGACTTTGTTGCGGCCGATGGTGCACCACAAGGTTATGGACGCTGTGGTGCATGTGTGATCTGATGTTGTAGTTGTGGACTTAGTATAATTTTGGATTTCTTTGATTTTGTCCTCCTGATTTTCAAAGGCCGGCGTAGTCCCCCAGTCCCCCACTGCTTCAGGCTGAAGAGTAAGCGAGGGGTGAAGGAGTAAAGGATTCCCCTAGGCCGAAGCGGGATTCTTATATTCCCCTGAATCCAATTCCTTGGCGGTTTCCTGACCAAGGTAACCCTGTGGGAGAAGCCTTGGACGCAGATCGCTTTCAAGAAATTATCATCAGGGTTTTATACAAGGCTGATGGTTGTGGGGTTTTTTATTGCTTCGCTGTTGTGGCCGTTGAAAGGGCCATGCTTATTGGTATTCTTGTTTGGGCCGATATGTGCCCACCCTGTGGTGTGACCTACCCTTTTGAAGTCATCTTTGTACTGAGGCCGATGTAGGCGCACTTTTTTTTAGCGTGGTCGTTGAGTGGTTGGCCGTTGCGGGCGCTGATTGCTGGCATGTTGGCGATGGGCTAGTACTGTGGAAGTGGGCCTGGCCCGCCTCCTGAACCGGTACAAGCCCAATGAGCCTGGGGGGCGGTGGCCGTTCATGTGGCCAACGGGTGTGTGCCACGTGTAGTGACCGTTCGGGGGGGGGGGGGGGGGCTATAAATACCCCCCTCCCTCCGAAGAGGCTCCTCATTGCATTCCTGAGATAACGAAGTGCTGCCAAATTTTCTAGAGAGAGAGAGCCTTGTCCTTGTGTTCTTCCATACTTCATACCCCAAAGGTCAGTTCATCACACTTTCTTCTGACTTATTCTATACATTGCTTTCCTAGGGCCTTCATCTAGTGTTAGTGAAGAATCACCCTTAGATCCAAGGTAATTCCCTTAAGGCCTTAGCTAGTTGTTATGATGAAACCTTTGGACGACGAGTACTATCCTTATGACGATGAGCCCTCCGCTAAATCCCTCGATTACCGGGTAGTAGAGGAGTGTTGTGAGGAGATAGATGACCTGAGCTCCTGGAAATCAGGGGAGCAGGAGGGTAGCGAGGGTGAAGACGAAGAGGCCGCCTCATCGTCTGAAGGTGAGGACGTAGTGGTCTCCCGTGCTGTGGACGGAGCATCTACCTCAGCTGCAATTCCCTGCCCGAAGCCGGTTTCTGCTGTGAAGGGGGCTGCTCCGCCGAGAAGGCGTCGGCCAAAGAAGGGTCCAGGTTACTCCTACCTGGACCTCACCAACATTTACCTGATCAAGCCGGAGAGCAGCGCGAATGATTACTTGGTGGCCCAGATGTATGTGGGGCCGTATGGGAGGGTTAGGGCGCCCAGGCCGACGGATCGGGTGCTGAATCCACCTCTGGGGTACTTTGGAGTATACCCCATGAGTTTTGCCAAGGGACTTAGGTTTCCCCTCCATCCGTTTATTACGGAGTACCTAGACATGGTGGGTCTCCCTCCGGCCCTGTTGACTCCGAACAGCTATTCCCTCATCGTCGGCTTTCTCCTCCGATGCGATGAGCTAGATTTCAGGCCGACAACGGCTTTGTTCATGAACATATATCAGATAGGCCGGGGTAGCCACAAGAATTGTGTCGGCTATGCCAACCTTCAACAGCTGCCGAAGAAGAGGAGCTTTACTGACCTTCCTTCGTCCATTCATGGTTGGAAGAGTAAGTTTGTCTTTGTATCGCTGGGCAAGGATGGCACCGAATTCCCCTCTGTCGGCCATGACAGGAGATTTAGCCTCCACGATGTGCCGAAGAGTAGCATTTGGATGCCCAGGTGGTGGCATTCTTGAAAGGAGGGCCGGGGAGCGTGAAAGAGTACATCACGGAGTATACGATGACCGCCCTCGGCTTCATGAGGTACTATGTGTACGGCGACAAGGAGAGTGACACGGAGATGTGGCCGAGGATGACCACCACTTTTGAGGAGGCCGATGGCCCGGATTTGGGTGTGCCCGCCGATGCTGATGGTAATACCCTCCTTGGCGTCTTCGTCTACATTTGCCTTTCTTTTTGCTAACTGTCCTTTTTTTGTTATGCAGATTTTGAAATGGATCACAGGTCCGGTATGGCCCTTGCCAAAGCGAAAGCGAAGGAAGAAATGGCCGCCAAGGAGGCCGCAAAGCTGGCCGCTGCAAGCGGCGCACAGCCGAGCTCTGATGCTCCGAGGAAGCCACCCATGCAGCCGAAGAAGAAACGACCCGTGGATGACGGCCAGAGGAAGCTGACCGAGGCTGGTATGCAGCCCAAGAAGACGAAGAGGGCTTCCCCTCTGGCTGATGATGACGTCGGGGATCTGACCACGCCGGCCGATGATGCCGGGGGCTCCAATGCCGTTGCCGTTGTTGATGTGGTTTCGGTCCCCTCGTCGACTGCCCTGTCCCAGCCGCCCCCTGTCGGCCAGGAGCCCCGGAAAAAGAGGGCCGGCAAGGAGCTGGTTGTTGGGACATACAAACTCAAAGTCGAGTACCCTGTGAAGGGTGGCGTCTTCAATGACGTCGTTGACGGCCATGACGTGCTTGCTCAAGCCGTCCCGGTCGAGGACCGGGCTTACCTGAAAAAGCTCGGCCCCGTCAAGATCTATGACGGCGGGATGGACCTTATCGTCCAAGTAAGTCCCTTGTACTGTGCACATTTTTTGTCATGAGTCTTCGCATCGTCCTAATCTTTTTTCGTCGTTGCAGGGTTCCCTTATGCTGATGGAGAGCCATAAGCGGCAAGAACAAGAGATTGCCCAGCTGAAGGAGGCCGAGCAAAAAACTGCTTTGGCCGAGGAGGCCATGGCCTGCCTGGATCGGATCCGGGAAGAAGTGAAGGCCCTGCAGAAGAGTGTTGATGAGTCCGATGTGGCCTATCGTCAGGTGGCGGCCGACAGGGATGATGCTCTGAGAGCCAAGGATGAGGCGCTGAAAAGCCGCGATGAGGCCCTGCTCCGAGCCGAGGACGCCGCGAAAGCCCAAGCTGACACAGAGAGGGCCGCTGAGAAAGCTGTTGACGGCGCCATTGAGAAATTCTTGACCGAAGGCTGGAAGGCTGAAGACCGCTGGCCCTGGTGCTACGAGGTAGTGGCGGATCGTCTTGAAGACTGGGGCCAAAAATGCCCTGCTAGCCAAGAATATTTTCAAAGGGAGATGTCTGTTTATTATGACATGGGCCAGCAGAGGATGCAACGGCTGATCTACCGGAGGCTGCACCGGGCTTTCAAGAAGTTGAAGCTTACCCATAAATGGGCCAAGTAGAACTTGAAGCTTCCCAGGCTGATGAAGGATCCGGAGGCCGAAGCTCCCTCCCTCCCTCTGAGAGGCAAGATCCGATACTCAGCTGCTCCATCGGTGAGCCTGATTGGTCCGATGACGAGGCCGTGGCCGACACCGCTGTTTCCGCAGTAGCTGAGACAAGTGTAGATGCGGGACCGAAGAGTGCAACGAAGTTGCTTTTGGGCAAGCCGATGCGGGGCTAGTTGCTGATGAAGTCGCCCCAGAGAGCTGATCGACTGACTCTTCGTTATGTAGTTTAGTAAGTTAGACAGGTGTTGTAACGCCTTTGTTTTGTAATGGTTGTGTGCCTCCCCCCATGTAATGAATCTTAAATGAATGAAAATAGCCATTGCTTCCGGCCTCATAGTATGATGTCTTCCTCGTCTTGCTTTTTTCCTTTTGCTTTTGTTGTTCAAGCATTACAAAATTTTCCAAGTGTTTAAGTGGGGTCATGGAGATAATTGTTCTCTTTGGTTGTTTCCTCTGGCTGCGGCCGAAGCGGGTAACTTAGGTGAGCATGTTTCGTCTATAAGGAACACCCCTTGCTTTTAGCAATACTTTGGAATTTCTTCTAAGTGTCAGGTTTCAAGTGATTGAGTGTCCGCTTCGTCTTGGCGTCACCCCTTTTCTTTTGTCCACACTTTAGAAATCTTTCCAAGTGCATGTCAAACTAAGCAGTTCCTTTAGTTCGGGGGCCTTCGTCGGATTATATGGACGGCATGGATAACCCATGTCTAGGTATTTTCATCGGCATGTGTACCCTTCCGGCCAGTGTGTATTCTTCGTTCCGTGTCATTCCCCATCCCTTTTTATTTCACTCGTCATCTTCTGAGTGTCAAACAAGAAGTCTTAATCTTGCTCTCCGTAGTCGTGGCCGATGAAGGTCCTGTCCTTTGCTCGGCTGGGGGGGGGGACGTCTTCCTCGTCCCTGCCATGTTTGGTGTCCCACTTGTGGGAACCCTCAAGTGTTTTGCTTAGAGTATGTGTCCGTTTCATTCTGACGTGGATGATGAGAGTTGTTGGTTCTCTTGTTCGGCTTTGGGATCATAATGACGGTGACGTGGATACGATCACCTAGGGTGCCCCTTCGGGATCTTTCCAAATATATGGAAATTGTTCCAAGTGTTGGACATACCGGATCCTTGAACACACTCGGGTGATTGCTTCCTTCATGAGTGGTTGATGACGGCCTCCCTTTTGGGTTGTCTGATGTTGGCTATGTGGTGCCCCTTTTCGGCCCCAAGAGTTTTGTTTAGTAATTTTGTCCAATTTTTTTTGAACGCTTTCGTCCGTAATATGTAACGTTTGCCTGATATGTACTTGGACGATGTTGGGGATTTTTATTTTTATTGCTCGAGGCCGGCGAATGCACGGCTCATCGGCTTCCCTCTTTTATTTTTGGGGATATCGCTTCAGGCCGGCAAGTGTGCGGTCCTTCGGTTGTCCCTCTTTTGTTTTTGGGGATATTGCTTCAGGCCGGCAAGAGTGCGGTCCTTCGGATGTCCCTCTTTTATTTCCTTCCTCTTTACTCTGTTGAGCGAGGGGTGGGTAAACTTCTTTCAGGCTTCGGCCAAGGGGGTCGATAGTCCCTCGGCCGGTAAGGAGTCCCACTGGATCGTCCTGTGATCTCAGGGAGGTCCCGTCGCCTATTTATGACGCGGGCTAAGGCATTTGGTCGGTTACCGATGGCTGCCGTTTCTCATCCCTGAGTTTGGGGATTTTTGTCACCTCGGCCATGATTTCAGACCTGTCGTCCTGCCGATTTCGCGGATAGACGACGTGGTGAGCTTCCCATTTCAAGACGTGGGCTCTTTGCGGGCCCTTCGTCCTAGGGACACCGTCGACCTTTCCTAAGCATTTTCGCTATGAGGGGTCGAGGCGGTGTGCTCTGTCGACCTTTCCTGAGCATTTTCGCTCTGAGGGGTCGGTGTAGTGTAGTATCATTTCCCTGAACTTTTTAGAAAAGTAAGAAACTTTTATTGATAAGTGGCTCGAGGCCGAGGGTGGCATTCGACCAACAATCCATGGGAAGGCGAGGGCTTTGCCGACTGGGCCATCCCCGAATTATTGATAGAATTTCACCAAGTGATGTACATTCCACGTTCGTGGCACATTTGACCCATTCGGGTGTTTTAGTTTGTAGGTACCGGGTTTGACTACGGCACTGACGATGTAGGGACCTTCATACTTGAGGGCTAGCTTGCCACCTTCCGTCGGCTTACTCGCCTCTCTTCGACGAAGGACATAGTCCCCCACCTGGAATTCCCAGGAACGTACCTTGGCATCATAGTATGATTTTACTTGACGCCGGTAGTTCTCTGCCCGGATGAAGGCCTGCTCTCGTCTTTCTTCGACCAGGTGGAGATCAATCTTCATGCTTTCCTCGTTGGCCTCAGGCTCATAACGCTCCACCCGTCGGCTGGGTATTGTGACCTCTGTGGGCGCCTTCCCTTTAAAGCCATAGCAGAGGGCGAAGGGTGTTTCGCCTGTTGCCCTCCTCGGCGTAGTACGGTAGCACCACAAGATATTGGGGAGCTCATCGGCCCAACTGCCCCCTGCGTCCTGGAGCTTCTTCTTCAGGCCCTCCATGATGGTTCTGTTGGCGTTCTCAACTTGCCCGTTACCTTGAGGATAGGCAACGGAGGAGAAACGATGTCACGCCCCGGACCTAGCCGGACACGTCAACAACCCGCCGTATAGTACGAATAGTCAACCGCAGTCCAACTCATCCATACTATACAAGGCGTCATGAATATCATTCACACGTAGTACATCCATAAACAAACATAATGTAAAACATGCATTTAAAACAGCGGAAGCAATTAATAAAAATGTCTTAGCCACACTTTGGCAAACATGGGCATACAAGCCCCCAAATAATTATTCAAAAAATAATATCCATGAGCATTGTTATAATTATTTTGAAAACAGGAAACAGGAGAAGCACGAACCACGTCTTCTCCCTTGAATATCCCCGAAGCAACGGGCGCCGGCAGCAACCTTCAAGTTCTACCTGAAACTGTGAGGTGGCCTCCCCCGTGAAGGGGAGGTCAGTACTTGGAAGCATTTGACAAGTACAATGACAACTATATTACGTATAATCAACGTTTTAATTTCCAAGACCCTCAAAATAGGGTGATATCATAATATAAATAATAATTTATATTTCCCACTTATTATCCTTGCAATAAGTAAATTCATAATTTGTTTGTTTGGCACACGGCCCTTCTTATATGTTCCTTTTCATTTATCCTTTGCACAACCCAAATCCTTGGGTTTCAATATTTCTACGGGACTTGCTACCGCTGTCCGAGACCTCATGAAGCTCTCGGTTCGGATTCCAACATCCCGCCCTTGGACTCATACCCATCATCCCGTAGGAAGGTAAGGCCCTTCGGGGTCCTATCTTATGTGTTACCGCTACCGGAACCTAGTTAGGTCTCCGATTCGGATTCCACCCTAACCCGTGATCACGATGCAAGTCCATGCTATCCAACCCCGCTCTCTAGAGTCGGGAAGGGCCATGGTCCTTACTTATTCCCATAATTCAACCGGCTATCCTCAAGGACTACCGAACACACCCGTAGGCCAATCCTATATCTAGGATCAATTTAATATTTACATTATCTTGGGTATCCCTTAAGGCCTACCCCTAGTATAACTTAAAGTTCATACTTTCCTACCTTAAAGCATCTCTTAAGACTACTTAAGGCATAACATTTCACAATCCAACCTTAGGATCAATCTTAACAACATTTCATTTTTATGTCCAACTAGTATCTTAATACTAGTCAAATTATTATCAACAAACCCAGTTCTCAACTCATAGTCATATAGCCAATTCCAACTGATTTTCCTTTGAAAAAATATCATTTATCTCAATATTCAAAATATCACTTTTAATCACTCATATATTCTAATATGAAGAAAAGTATATTTCAACATATGTTTCATAATAAATTCCACTTTGAAGTCCACATACTCATAACACATGAACATACACAATTTACTCTCAAATTTGTATATCATGATCCTCTTTCTTTAGACATTTAGTCTTTTCATTTTTAGGCATTATTACTCATTAATAATCCGTAAAAACACATTTAATTACCTTCGGTAATCTCATGAAATTAACTCACTAATTATAAGCAATATAGTCAGCCATCCTCACCTTATGATGTGCTCAACTAGATGCCTTTACGAAGCCCTTCGATAAATCCCCGTTCTTGGCCGATTGAAACGAGAATTCTGGGCAGTAGCTGAAAGCCGCCCGGCTTACGCCAAAAGCCGCCCGGCTTACGCCAAAAGCCGCCCGGCGTTCGTGTGCTGCAGGTTCGAGCAGCCTGCTATACTTAGCGGTTTCCGGCGATTTCGACTCCTATCGATTCACCAACACTCCTAAGTTAAATGCCACCACTTTATATCAATATTCTACACTTTTAAATTTGTAGAACTCATGGTTTAATCCACCATATGATTTCTTAGAAATCATACACAATAAAACTAGTTAAAGAGTAGAAATTGTGTTCTTACCCCTTCTCCTAGCTTTTCCTTTTGGATTTCTCTTCCTTCTTGCTTTCTTTGAGCTTGGTCTTGGTGAGAAGACTTTCCTAGATCTCTCTCCTAGTGATAGGGCCGAATGCTGCACAATGAGTGAGAGAGATGTATCTCCATCCACTCAACTCACCAAAATAATGCATGCAAGGACATGGGGGGTGTGGCTTTGTCTTGAGCCATCCCTTCCACTTAATAATCCGCCCCCCTCACCAATTCTTGTCTCATCCAGCCCTCACCTGTCTGCTAGAGCTCACAAAAACGTGGGGTGGCCCCCACTCATGTGGGAGGTCATCCCATCGTGTCCCGACGTGTATAATCGGCCCCGAAAGTTGTATTTTTCGGACTACTTTAGTCATATTTTATTTTATCGGGCCGGATAAAATATATCCCACATTGATAATAATTATCGGTCTTTAGAATAGATGTACATTCCCCAACATTAATTTAGGAGTCTCCGAAACTCATTTTGGGCTGTTATCCGCTAAATTACCAATACCGGTAATTGGGCCCCATTTGACCAACCGGTCAACTCCATGCCTTCTTATGGACCAAATAGAGTGTCCATCACCATATAGATGTCATCTAGACCAAGATGAATATAATATGCGGTTCGGGAATTATCGGGCAGTCCCCGTCCCCGCTGTGGGCCCCACATGCAATTTACTATTCACGTAAAAGAAATAATAAAAATTTACAATCACGCAAATTCTTAAATCATCCTTCAAGGTTTATTACATAATTTACTAAAAGTAAATATGCTCGGGGTCGGTGTTACAAGTTCACCCCCCCTTAACGGGAATTTC